ATATTTTATATTTTGGCTCAAATACTCAAAAGTAGCTAAACCAAAGGATTAAGTCACTGAAGCCGAGCTTTGAAGCATATAAAAGACGGAAGCAACACAAAACAAAAAAGTTTTGGACGCTCACTTGAAGTCCGCGCTATAACACCCTAGCAAAAAGATCAAGGGCTCAAGTATGATCAACGCCTATAGACAATGTACAAGTCCAATATTAGATTTCTGTTGATAAAACACATAATTCTAGATTGTACATGCCCAACTACTGTATTCAAGAATGATTCGGATATATTGACAAAAGTCAACCTTTGATCAAAATGGTTCTAGTGGCCAATAACCCTGATTATTCCAATCTAAAAGATTCGCACATCAATCCAATTTCCAATCCTTATGTTCCTAAGGGTGTCCTTTTACTTTCACAACAACATGCTCCAATTCTATACCAATCCAACCACAAGATTATCGCCTACTACAAAGATCAAATGTCGGTCGTTTATGAAACTATAGTTAAACGATAGAATCTCGTCAAACGAAAATTAGCAAAAGAAACTGTGGTCAAATAATAGAATCTCGTCAAACGAACATTAGTAATAGAAACTATGATAAAACGTAAATTAGAAATAGAAACTATGGTCAAACGATAGAATTGAGGCTGTGGACAGCCAAAACTGTGGAGCTAAAAATAATCAAGAAAATTATAGAGGTAACATGTGGAGTTTTGGGTTAAATGACAAAATTACCCTTAAGGCACACTAGGATTCCCACGCACATGTAACGGATAATAACGGCTCAATTAAGGAAAAGTCAAGGGTGATCAAAATGGTATTTATTCAAATTCCTCTCATCACTCCTCATCAAATCCTTATTCAAAAGGTAACTCCCAATTTTCCCATTCAATTTAGGTTTAATTGCCAAGTTAATTGCAAGATATTATTTCACATAATATCTTGCAATTACACTCTCAATTTGACAATATATAGCCGGCCCCTATTTTCCAAATAGAGCCGGCCACTCCCCTATAAATAGCCCTATTCTCCCACTAAAATTCTAAGTCATTCTCTACCCAAAAATTCTCAAACACATTTTCTCTCAAATTCTAACTTTGGCATTAGAGATTCTTCAGCCAAAGCCCCCCTCCCTCATTCATTGTGGGCACGTGAGGGTTTTGGCCTTAATCTTAGGTGTTATTATTATGCAGGTGCATTTTCATCAAAGGAGAAAACGGCGGAAATTTGCATCCACAAATTGGTGCTTTCATTGAGATTCTTGATTCACACGCTCGAAGAAGACTCTCGCATTCAAAGTTTCTCATTTCTTGTTCATTTCACGAACGGTTTGCGCCCACTCATTTGTGAGGTCGAGCACGATTCAAAAATATAAATTGTGACATTGGTCTACGGATTTTAAATAAGTAATTTTCAAACTTCAAACTTCGTAACTAGTTTAATTAAAATCTAAATTCAAACAAATAAATCTAAATTCTTGAAAAATAATATAAAATATCCTTAATACAATACATAGTTTGCAAAAGTGAAATCCAGGAATAGAATTTCACAACAAGTCTAGCTTTATACATGGATATAGTCCCATCCTACCAAATTCTTATTTGCAGGAAGAGGGACCAAAGACCAAGTACCCTGAGAATGCAAGGCTGGGAGTTCTTCTTCCATAGCTGCACACCACACTGAGGATTTAAGAGCTGACTTACATGTTGATGGTTCCACCTGAGTTAAATCAACTGAGTTCTCATATGCAATTATTGAGAGAAACACTTTGGGCTTGAAGATACCACTCTTGGATTTGGTTTGCATAGCATGTGTATTCATAGGTGGTATAAAGAGAATAACTTGTAAACTTTCAGGTTGAAACTCAGAGGATATCTTAATGCTGTCATGAGAGTTAGATCTAGATGACAAATTTGTAGCCACAAGGAAAGTGGGAGGAACATACTGTGTTGAAGTTATAGCAATGGATTCAGGAATTGGGTTTATAGGACCATGTGGAGATGATGGTATAATAGGTGACACAGGGACATGCATAGTAGATAAGGGTATAGTATATACAGTTGATATGGGAACAACAAGATTATCATGTGTAATAGATGGCATGAGAACATATGAGGACATATAAGAAGAATGAGAAGAGGACTGAGATAAGTATTTGGAAGATAACATGACATAAGGAAATTCACTCTCCAACCGTTCTACTGAAACTGAAAAATCTTTTTATTTGCTTTGTATAAAAAAAAAAATTTCTTTCGTTTTTTTTTCATTTTTTTTCAGTTTTTTTTTTAATCAATTTTGCACATAACTAAATACAAATATGAAATACCCCCACACTTATTCTTTTTCCAAACTCCTTCAAAGTACTTCACAAACATTTCTCATAAGACAATCTCACATTGCTCACTAGCTAGCTTGGAAAGGGTAAGGAAAAATGTTTAAGGTATAAGGGTAGACATATCTGGTGATAAGAAATAAAAGTCTCAACATATACGGCTCAAATTGGCAATCTAATGATATCATTTTTCTTTAGGAAACATGCTTATTTGGGCCATGGTGATAAACCTAATGCCTCTATCCTTTTCAAGTTCATGCAATCAAATGACAAACATTTCGAAAGATCGTTACTTAAGTTCTAGAGATGTAAGTCACATAAGTTCATCACACATGAAAGAATATGAGTGTATGAAAAATGAACACTTTCAATAGGCTCAAAAACTCACATAGGATGTATATGGTCACTATGTTCACATACGAAGCTTTAAGTCATGCTTTAATTTCACATCAACAAGGCTATGTGCATTTGGTTTTTCAAAGATGATTAAACATATACAAGGCTAACAAGAGAATAAGGAATTTCACACAACACATGCTTACTAAGTTCTTGATCACCGTGGTTCAAATTCAATCCAATTATATCATTGGGTTGGGAAACTAACAAAAATCTACTTCAAAACAATAAATAAAACAAGACTATTTTTGGATTTTCAAATTTTCTGAATTTTTTTGGTTTTTAAGAGTAAACAAAACTAAATAAAAAAAAAAACAACACGGAAACAAATCAAACAAATTCTTAGTCGAAGGGACGAAAATTTTCAATTCGGTCATTTTTTCAATCCTTATCCCCAAACCTAAACTGGACATTGTCCCCAATGTCAAAAAAACACAATAATGCATAAAATAAAAATAAAATAAAATAGTAAGAAACAAAATAAAGCATTTGGATTGAAAACTTCCCCAATTTGCAGTAAAAGCAAGCGATAACCCCTAAACTCCAATTCTGCAATCAACTCCAATGGTGGACACGATCAAATTTTCCTACAAAGAAAAGAAATAATTCAGTTTAGCATGCAAGAAAATTCAGAAACAAAAACAAACGGAAACTTGTAAATGACATAAAAAGACAATGAATAGAAATATTGGGTTGCCTCCCAATAAACACTTGTTTTTACGTCCGCAGCCGGACGGTACCAAGAGTAATCATCCAAGGGGAGATGGTTCATGGAGAGGTACAACCTCCACATCATGCTCTGCAAAAGACTCATAATATGGCTTGAGTCTATGTCCATTCACTTTGAACATGTTTCCGGTCTTTGCACTTTGGATTTCCACTGCATCATCAGGAAAAATAATAGTTATAACAAAAGGACCAACCTATCGAGAATGAAGCTTACCTGGAAATAACCGAAGGCGAGAATTAAATAGAACTTTTTGTTCAATGGCGAAGCTCTTCCTTGATATCATCTTATCATGAAATGCCTTTGATTTCTCCTTGTATATTCGACTAGAATCGTATGCATCATTCCGGATTTCATCTAACTTAATCAATTGAAGTTTTCTATGTTGTCCGGCAACACTCATGTCCATGTTGTAGGCTTTGATCGCCCAATAAGCTTTGTGTTCAAACTCTACTGGAAGATGGCATGGTTTCCCATAAACTAACCGAAATAGGGACATTCCAATAGGAGTCTTATAAGTAGTCCTATAAGCCCACAATGCATCGTTCAAGCGCATGCTCCAATCCTTCCTACTAGGACTCATAGTTTTCTCCAAAATTTGCTTCACCTCACGGTTTGATACTTCTACTTGACCACTAGTTTGTGGATGATAAGGTGTAGACACCTTATGTGTGACATTGTACTTCTTAAGCAACGCTTCAAATGTTCTATTGCAAAAGTGATTCCCTCCATCGCTGATGATTGCGCTAGGTATTCCAAATCTTGCAAAGATGTTACTCTTAATAAAGTTTGAAACAACTTTTGAATCATTAGTTTTGGTGGCTTTTGCTTCCACCAATTTAGAAACATAATCCACAGCCAATAAAATGTAAAGAAAACCATTAGAAGATGGAAAAGGTCCCATGAAATCAATGCCCCACACATCAAAGATCTCAATAATCAAAATAGGGGTTTGTGGCATTTGATTTCTTGGGCCCAAGTTACCTGTTCGTTGACAACGATCACATGTTGCACAAAACGCGTACGCATCCTTAAACAAACTAGGCCAATAAAAACCACTCTCTAACACCTTAAGAGATGTCCTCTTTGCTCCAAAATGGCTGCCACATGCATAAGAATGACAAAAAGTTAGAATAGATTTAAACTCAGATTCGGGGACACACCTTCTAATCAATTGATCAGGGCAATATTTCCACAAATAAGGATCATCCCACCCGTAGTATTTGGTGATTTTGACAAGCTTATCTTTCTGAGCACGTGTAACATCATCCGGAATCTTTTTGGTGACCTTGTAATTGATAATATTTGCATACCAAGGGTCAGTAGCCTTTAATGAAAACAATTGCTCATCCGCTCACGTAAAGGGATGAGATCTTCCTTTATGTTTGAATGCACAAGTCTTCTACGATGATCTGCTACAACATTCTCACTCCATTTCTTATCATTGATCTCCAAGTCAAACTCTTGAAGTAGAAGTATCCATTGAATGAGTCGCGGTTTTGCTTTTTTTTTTTGTGAGTAGATACTTTAAAGTTACATGGTCAGAAAACACAATAACTTTAGTCCTAATCAGATAAGATCTAAATTTTTCTAAAGCAAATACAATAGCTAAAAGCTCATTCTCTGTTGTTGAATAGTTCAACTATGCATCATTGAGTGTTCGAGACGCATAATAGATGACATGTGGCACTTTGTTTACACGCTGCCCTAGAACTGCACCGACGACATAGTCTAAAGCATCGCACATCAATTCAAAAGGTAAACTCCAATCTGGTGGTATGATCACAAAAGCTGTGGATAACAACTCCTTATGCTTGTTGAATGCTACCACACACTCTTCATTCATATTAAATGTTACATCCGTTTGAAGCAAACGGCACAAGGGTCTAGAAATCATTGAGAAGTCCTTCATAAACCTACGGTAGAAACCTGCATGTCCAAGAAAAGAACGAACCTCCCTAACAGTAGTAGAGATGGGTAAAGAACTAACAAGTTCTACTTTAGATTTATCAACTTCAATTCCATTTTCAGATATGATATGCCCCAGAACTAATCCATACGAAACCATGAAATGACATTTTTCCCAATTTAAGACCAGATTAGTTTCTTGGCAACGTTTTAAAACTAGGGACAAATTATGTGGACATGTATCAAAATAATCACCATAAACTGAAAAATCCATGAACACTTCAATTATTTTCTCAATCATATTAGAAAAGATACTTACCATACACCTTTGAAATGTGGTTAGGGGCATTGCAAAGTCCAAACGGCATCATCCGGTATGCAAATGTGCCAAATGGACATGTGAAATTCGTCTTTTCTTGATCCTCTGGAGCAACTGCAATCTGATTATATCCAGAATAGCCATCAAGAAGGCAATATGAGAATGACCAACTAACCTTTCTAACATTTGATCAATGAATGGGACTGGAAAGTGATCCTTGCGTGTGGTGTTGTTTATCTTCCGATAGTCTGTACAGACTCTCCAACTATTTTGCACACGTGTAGGCACTAGCTCATTAGCTTCGTTCTTAACAACTGACTCTGGATCGCTTCAGAATTACTTGAACAAGGCTCACCCACTTGCTGTCCGAGATAGGATATATGATGCCAACATCAAGAAGTTTGATAACCACTTTCTTGACGACTTCCATCATGAGTGGGTTCAAACGGCGTTGAGCTTCCTTTGTTGGTTTTGCACCTTCCTCCAACAGAATCGTATGCATACATGTAGTTGGATTTATACCTTTGATATCTGCAATACTCCAAGCTATGGCAATTTTGTGATCATTCAGTACCCGGATCAGTTTCTCCCTTTCTTCTGCTGTGAGTTGTGATGATATGATGACTGGTAATGTTTCATCCTCTCCCAAAAATGCGTACTTCAAATGTTCAGGAATCGTTTTAAGCTTCAATTTGGGTGCCTGAATCACAGAAGGAAGAGTTTTTTCATTAGAAGTAGGAAGAGAAATAAAATAGGAAAAAGACTTACCATAAATTGGTGAAAGAGACTCAATAACAGCCACTGTTTGGATTAATTCTTCTTCAATGTGCTTGGAATAATTAAGATTTCCATGTGTAACGCTATGCACTAATGCCTTCTCTAAATTATCTTGTTCCACACCTTCATTAAAACAATCCTGCACAAAATGGTCAAACACATCAATAGACAAACAAGATTTAAAATCACAAGGGTACCTCATAGCATTGAAGATTCTAAACTTGACACTTTCTCCATCAATTTCCATGGTTAAGGTACCATCGTAGACATCAATCTTCGTACATGCCGTTCTAAGGAATGGTCTTCCCAATATAAGAGGAAGTGCAATAGGCATAGGGTTATGTTCCATCTCAAGAACAAAAAAGTCAGCGGGAAAAATGAGCTCATTCACTTGCACAAGTACATCCCCCAAGTAGATTACTACCTTTGTTTCCTTCAAGTCTCCAAGGTTCAATGATTCATACACTGAATATGGCATCAGATTGATATATGCCCCCAAATCACACAATGCTCTCCCAAACTTTTTCCCTCTGATTACACATGGAATGGTAAAGCTACCGGCATCTTTCAACTTCGGTGGCAGCTTCCTCTGCAAAACAGCTGATACTTCCTCCCTTAATGCCACAATTTCTTGATCATTGAATCTCCTCTTGTTCTTACAAAGCTCTTTAAGGAACTTTGCATACTTGGGCACTTGTTTTATGGCATCTAAAAGAGGTAAGTTCACTTGGACTTTTCGGAAAGTATCCAAGATTTCCTTATCAATTTGCTCTTTCTTAGACTTCATAAACCTACGAAGAAAAGGAACAGGGACACATGAGTTAAATGAATTTTGAACTTTTTTACTTACCTTATCAGAATCTTTTGTGTTCAATTCTGTAGCTTTAGGAGACTTTTTAGTTTCTGTTGAAGCCTCATCTTGCTCAAGATTTTTGGTTTGTAGCTCCTCTTGCTCATTTGTATCTTTTCTAGTCCTCTTTTGCATCCTTGACTGCTCAAAAACTTCTTTTCCACTCCTTAAAGTCACAACATTCATCTGCTCCACATTTGGATTCACCACGGTCTGGCTAGGCAACCTTCCTGGTTGTTGTTGTTGCCCCATCAAACTTGCTAACTGACTTATTTAGCGCTCAAGGATTTCAATTGCTTTGTCTATTTTCTGTTGATGAGATTGAGTAGAGTTAGCTAAAGAAGCAATTAAATCCTCAAGAGACTTACTTGGAGCTTCTTGTTGTTGAGGCTGAAATGGTGCCTGCAGTCTTGCTTGAAAAAAGCCAGGTAGACGGTTATAGTTGTTGGGAATAGATTATTGTCCATTGTCTTGATTGTTCCACTTTAAGTGTGGATGATCGCGCCACGCTGCGTTATAATTGTTGGAGTATGGATTATACTTTTGCCTTTGTTGCCCCTGAAACCCTCCTAACGCATTAGCTTGCTCAAGACCACCTTGATCCATCAATGAAGGGCACATGTCTGTGGCATGTCCCATTATTGAACATACACCGCACACCTGTTTTGGAGCCACCATAACCTGTTGCACAAGATTAGTCAAGTTAGCTAATTGTAATTCAATACTAGAATTAGCACTTACCTCATTAACTTTCTTAAGAGGTAGCTCATCTCTCCCTCCAAATTGTCGTGTGTTGCTAGCAATGTTCTTTAATAATGCCTTAGCATTTGTTGGTGTCTTGTCCATGAATGCTCCTCCACTTGCTGCATCAAGCATTACACGATCAGTACCACACAATCCTTCATAAAAATATTGTATTAAAAGATGCTCTGAAATCTAATGATTAGGACAAGATGCAACCAAATGTGTGAATTGCTTATAGTAATCTCCAAAGGGCTCTCCATGTTGTTGTCGGATTGCATATATGTCTTTTCTTATGCTTGCAGCTTTTGTGGCCGGAAAATATTGCTCTAAGAATGCTTGCTTCACCTGGTTCCATGTGTTCATTGATCCCGGAGGTAAATTGTAAAGCCACTCCTTTGCCTTAGCTTCTAATGTAAATGGGAATGCCCTCAACTTGACTTGCTCCTCATCAACATTTACTGGTCTCATTCTCAAGCATACCACGTGAAACTCCATGAGATGCTTGTTGGCATCCTCTGTTGAGAAGCCATGGAACTTAGGCAAGTAGTGAATCATGCCTGACTTGAGCTGAAATCCTCATTCTGCATTTGGATATGTGATGTACAATGGTTGTTGATCCGTATTTGGGATTGCCAACTCCCTCAAAGTACGGTTATCAACCATGCCTTCTTGTGGTTCTTCCTCCTATTCCGAACTCAAATGTGGTGGAGAAGATGGTGGTAAAGACACCGATGCACGCTTCCGCTTGATTTTTCTCTGAAGCTTTCGAAGTGTTCGTTCAAGCTCAGGATCGTAGGAAGGAAGATCAATGCTCTTGGACCTTCGAGTATGCATATACTACGAAGAGTACCTGAAATAAAAACAAAAACAAAAACAAAAACACTAATTAGGCAAGAAAAGAAAACAATAGAAAAATAAGTAATTAGAAATAACAATCCCCGACAACACGGCGCAAAAAATTTGATAGGATTAAAAGCACACCACAAAGTAGCACACAAATGTCCTATTGATTTTCCTTATTAACACTAAGATTTGTCAATTGTAGCATATGAAAATAAGGGTCTTTCCCGCAGAAGATTGTTTTATCTAACTACTTAAAATGTCACAAAAACTTGTTGCTGTCCCTACTGACTAGCCACCGAAAAATAATTATTAGACCGACTTACACTAATCTAAAGTCTACAAAAGTTTATACAAAAATACTAGACACACAGAGCTACGGTTCTACAAATTTTTGGGATTTTTGGAGTTGATTTGCTATTTAAATTAAATCGAACAAAAACAGAACATAAACAAATTTTAAGTAGTTCACAAATTAAGAAAAACGAGTTAGGGGAATTGCTATCTACCACCAAATAATTATGCAAACATGTTATGTTTCATTCAAATTCCTTTTATTTCTGGATGAAGATGCTCAAGTTGGCTCAATGTTAGAATTCAACCTATTACTCTTTCTTATGTAGTATGTTAAGAGAATGACGTTTTCAACTTAACTTAGTTCCTAGCATGCAATCTAGAATGGCGTGTTCATAGATTTAACAAGTAGAAATCATTAAGAACAAAAAGAGTTTGAGTCATCACAAGGCATCGTAAGTACTAGCGTTGTCTTACTTATCCTAGAATTAGTTCACATGTTAATCGCAATTAACAAGTACTACTCTAGAACATATGTAGGTCCTCATTCGACTAGGGCAGGCACACACATATTCATAGCATTAGAATCCTAGATATGCTTACTAAGTATGCATTCGTAGAAAACACATAAAGAATTCATCAATGAGACAATTAGTGAACCAATTTTCATCCATTAATAAAAGTAATTCAAACGAAATGTCATAACAAACTTGTAATCATATTCGGGGCTTCAAAACAGCCCCTAACTACTAAAAATTTAGTTACACATTATTATCAAATAAAACCAAAAGAAAGACATGAGTTTGAGAAGATAAAATCGAAATAAGAGAATGCCAAGATTTCCTCATTCCTTTCCTTCCTTCCCCAACGCTGCTGCCTTGCCTTTTCTTTATATTCTATTTTTTTTATTCCCCTTTTTTCTTCCCCGTTTGCCGTTGCAACCTGCACCTTTTTGTTCTTGCTTGATACCCTAATTTTTTCTCCATAACTCACCCCACTAACAGTCATACTAGTACAAAAAACACTTTGCGCGACGCAGGTCCTTCGTCGCGCAAATCTTTGCATAACGGACCTTCGTCGCGCGCTAACCGTCGCGGCAAGGCAGTGATAGAAGGGTTTGCGCGACGAAGAAGATACCTACGTCGCGCAAAGTGACTTTGCACGACGCAGGCTTCGTTGCGCAAAGTGGCTTTGCGTGACGCAGCCTATGTCGTGCAAAGTCACTTTGTGCAACGCATGTTCCTACGTCGCGCAAAGTGGATTAGATCACTTTTTAGTTTTGGTCAAATTTTTTTTTTAATTTTTAATAATATTGTAATTAAATTCTAAATGATAATTAATTAACCAAAGAAAAGTATTTAATTATAAAATATATGAAAATGTACATACAAGATGTCCGAACAAAAAAACAATTACAAGGAGTCTTCTAGGTGAAGTGGCTCGGAGGTCGAAGGTGGAGCAAGATCAGGTATTGGTACCGAGATTTGGATGCCGATCATCTGTATGGTTCTTACAAGGTCTCTCACGTGCCCAACACAAGCCTTCAGCTCCTCACCCTCGGCCATCATCTGTTGGCCCTAGACCGCAAGCTAACCCTTTAGGGTTGTCACTTCCTCCTTCAACGCATCGACCTCTGCGATGTTCGACCTGGAGCAGTAGATGCTGATAATGCAGGAAGCTCATTGGTCACACTTCGACGACGAGTGATCAACTACGACATCTATACACTTTTTGAACCATAAAACTATAACAGTAAGCTCTATGTTATTAAAAAACCTATAAGGCGTGTTCGCTTGGGTTGGTTCTAGTTCAAGCCCTCATTTTAACAAGGTCAAAATAAGGAGACTAGGTGAGGCACTAGTCCCATTTAGTGAGATTGCTAAATAGCACCCTGTTTGATACAGCTTAGACTAACTCATAATAGCTCAATTCGGCAAACTAATGCGGTGTAGCAAACATAGCCATAAAGTCCAAGCGAAGCAAATAGCCGGAAATCTTTCTTCTTCTAGAATCTCTCACGTTCATTGGGCATAACCACGTTGTACACACACACACACACACACATATATAATAAATATATATATCCCAATATGTATGCTTTATGAAGGCAATTTAAGGTCCCATGTAGGTCAATTCAATTAGGCAAATATGGAGTGTTCGTGTTCCAAACAAATTTGGGCATTCCAAATTGTAGTGGCAAACATTTTGCAATCCATCATCCAACCAACTAATCTTCCAATTATTTGCATATACATACATATATATACACACACATATATATGCTTGGAATATGTATTTAATTATTGCAAAGAAGCAAAACGGAGAAACGAGAAAATTAAAGGGAAAAGGAAAAGGGGAGAAGAGAAAGAGAACTGAGCAATCTTTCTTCTTCCCCTGAAAAATTAACGAAGGTTTCAGAATGGTGCTGATAATGATTTCTACAGCTTGCAACTAGTGAACGATTGTGGCTGAATGTATAGAGAGTGCTCTCTTAAAAACAATTCTAAGAAATCAACTTCCACATCTTTCAATCAATGCGAGCATATAGGAAATGGAAAAGACATATAATTTGTTTATACAGAGTTGACATTGGGAGGGCCACATTTTCGGCCTACCACTCCTCCGAATATTTGTGTAAAACGTGTAAGTTCAGGACATGCAGAGCATCAAGAAAGCATTCAACTCAACATCATTTCAAAGACAAACTTATCAGTAAGAAATTTAACAAAGAATAGAAAACAAAAGGCGAAAGCATAAATCTTTTCTCGCTAAAGAGAAAGCAAAAGGCTTAAAGCATGCCACACAAAATGTTGAAAGAATACCTTTTCAGCTTATATAATATTTGCTTAATGGAATATAGGATTTCAAGCTCAACCACCAAGTTCTTGATGAGAAATACATACAAAAAGAAACTGTGCAAAGGTCTAATTAAACCAATGTCATAACAATGAAACGAAAAGTTTCACATGCCGAAACTGAAACACACACAACACTGCTACAACTTAGAAATTAAAATGCCAATTATCTAAAGCTAGTCAATTCTACTTCACATGGCATTGGACAATAACACAGATTTTTCCGACTAATGACAAGTCCGCTTCTAAATGTAATTGGTTTTCTCAAATCATCTTAAACACAGAATACTGAATCTACAATTACAGGGATTGTCGTACATATGGACTCCTGCAGATGGGTAAGAATGACTTGCAGCAGGACGAGCTCTTTCAAAGGCCAAATGAGGTGAATGCAGCTGCCCTAGAGCTTCAGGCCCCCTATGTTGAAATAAAAATCAATAAGTTTTTAATATATAATGAAACCCAAATGCGCAATGGCTATTCAATGACAGGTGTTTATGCATAACTCAGGCACATTCATGCATGAATAATATATCACAACACTATATTCTTCTCTGATGTGTCATAAATTAAACATGTGCCACAAGAATGTGATCGCATTGAGACTGATACACACGGAAAAAAACATAAAACACTAAGTGAAACACATAATAATGAATTTATATGTTTAATTTACAAGGGTTGTCCTTACCCATGGACTCCTGTAGAAGGGTAAGGTTGACTCACAGCAGGACGAACTCTTCCAAAGCCTAAAGGAAGAGAATACAGCTGCCCTGGAGCTTCAGGCCCCCAATGTTCAAATAAACCAATAAGTTTTTACCAAAGCCAAATGCTCAATGACCATTCAATCACAGGTTTTTATGCGAGACTCAGCACACTCATACATCAATGATATATCACAGCATCATATATTTCTATGACATGTACATTAAACATACACCAAATAATTTTGTGATCGCATTGGGACTAATAACAAAGACAGAAATCATATAACACCAATTGAAACACTTTTAAGGAATTTAAAAGTTCACAGTTCTTACTGTTGTCATTACCTTCGACAAAACATTTACAAAGCATGTTTATTTCTTAAGAAAAATAAAGGTACGGTAGTTAAGCTTGGCAAGTCAGATTAACAATGCACATAGGATTCCCCCCCCGGGGGAAGCCAGTGCTTAATTTCATGGTGAAGTTTGACATAAGTGCATCAAAGTCACTACTAAGCCATAGATTATCCTAGTAAAATACATGAGCTTAACGCTTAATTGAGCAGAACGAGTAGCACTTAACGTAAGATAAATCCATTTTCTTCCAATATTAATTCATTCTGGAAATCGAATTTGGCTTCCTAAATTTTCTCACCAACCAAACAGAAAGAGTTGGAAAAAGTAAATCTGTGAAATTCTCGCCAATGGAGCTTAAACTGTCCTAATTTTCCACAATACTAACTTCCCGAAACCTAAAATTTGATTCTAGACGAACCCCTCGATTCCAAAACCCCAGCTTGACCAGAAAGACACCAAATTTAGCACTAAATTCTCCAAAAAAAACAAAAAACATAAAAATCAGCAATGGCAGCAGAAAGAGCTAAACAAATTAAAAAGAAAACCCCAGAAAAATTAAAGACTGGGAAAACAAAAACGCTAATAAGAAACGTACTCAAATGGAATGCAAACCTGCCAAACTGGAGATGCGAGCTTGTATTTGCCAGAGAACTTGCACAGATTGTTCAATCTTGGTAATAACTTCAGCAAAATTGAATCAAAGTCATCAACAAAATTGCAAAAACTTCAGCAAGAACACCTCCATGTTCATACACAAAACACACATACAGATCAACAAAATTGCAAAAACTTTAAACATTCAACTCGAATCACTTCACGGAAAAAGCAATTTGACAAAAACCCAACATGCAATTTGAGCCTAAACCCTAAATAACAAAAACCCATCGAAGATGAGAAACCCTCACCTTGATTTTGGGACTTGATTCGCGTCGGCTTCGAGATTTACATGGCTGCCGTCGTTTAGAACGAGAGGGAGAGAGACAACCAACAGAGTAGTGGTGGTGGTTGGATTCGAGATTGTGAAGAGGAAAGCTTGCGAACAAGAGGGAGAGAGATGTCCACGGGAAAGAGAGAATGAGAGATGAGCGAGAGGGAAAAGAGAGGTCTATTATATGGGAAAGAGGGAAAGCAGAGAGAGATGTCTACGGGCCGGGAAAGAGGTCCAAACTTAGGAAAATTGAAAAAAACCGCCCATTTTTTACTATTTTACCGCCAAATTTATCATAACTTGCGCGAAGTAGGTACACCTGCGTCGTGCAAAGCTGTTTTGCGCAATGCATGTGTACCTACGTCGCGTAAAGTGTTTTTTTTTTTGTCCTTTTTCTTTTCTCTTGCATGAGTACAAAATAAATAAATTAAAATCTACTTACTAAATATATATACCATTGAACTTGATGGGAAATGCATTGTACGAAATTAGTTTCAACGATCAAACCGTCAATCTTGTTTGTATATACTTCGAGATCACATATGCCAAAAATCGAAAAAAAAAAACATTCAGAGATCAAGTAACAGGACAAAACTTTTCGACGGTTATAAATGAAAAAACACGATTTAACGATAGTTTTAACTTTGATTTTGATGATTTTTTAGAGCTACACTCCTTGACCCTATATGAATACAATGAACTAATTCGATCTTCAATTTAAAATATTTACACTAGTGGACACCACAAAATCTTATGTTATACTTGACGAAAATATAAATAAACTCCAAGTGTTAGTGAATGTATTGTTTTAATGGGATACGAATTCTACGAAACTAGTTTGAACGATCCAACCGTCAAACATGTTTGTATATGCTTTGAGATCGTGTACGCCAAAAATCACAAAAAAACAACATTCAGAGATCAAGTAACGGGACAAAACTTTTCGACGGTTATAAACAAAAAAGCATGATTTAACGGTAGTTTTAACTCCGATTTTGATGATTTTTGAGAGCTACACTCCTTGACCCTATATGAATATAATGAACTAATTCGATCTTCAATTTAAAATATTTACAGTAGTGGACACCACAAAATCTTATGTTATACTTGATGAAAATATAAAAAAAACTCATAGTGTTAATGAATGTATCATTTTAATGGGATACGCATTCTACGAAACTAGTTTCAACGATCCAACCGCCAACGTGTTTGTATATGCTTTGAGATCGCGTATGCCAAAAATCGTAAAAAACAAACATTCAGAGATCAAGTAACGGGACAAAACTTTTCGACGGTTATAAATGAAAAAACACGATTTAACGGTAGTTTTAACTCTGATTTTGATGATTTTTGAGAGCTACACACTTTAACCCTATATGAATACAATGAACTAATTTGATCGTCAATTTAAAACATTTACACAAGTAGATACCACGATAGAAAAAGGCAATACAAGAACCCCAAAAGAAAAGCAAAAGGAAAAAAAAAAAAAAACGTTGCGCGACGTAGGTACACCTGCGTTGTGCAAAGCTGTTTTGCGCGACGCAGGTGTACCTACGTCGCGCAAAATTTTTATTTTTTTTCCTCTTCTTAGCTTTTGTTTCCCTAAACCTATCAAAATCCTTCATACTCCTAGTCATTCATTCTACTCATTCAATTGTTCAAAACCAAAACTCAACTTGTTAAAAATAAGCTAGCATTGACAAAGATAATTAAAGAAAAACATAAATACATAAAAATAAAAAAATCCAAACATAAATGTAATTAATAAATAGCTAATTAATAAATCAAATAAATACAACCCTGAAGGTGAAGATGGTAAGGGTTGAGAGAGGTAGAGAGTTTGAAAGAGAGTGAAGAAGAGAGATTGAGTGTGAAGAAAAAGGCCCCTATGTGTGGTTATTTAAGAAAAAAAAGTCGTAGACTTTACGCGACGCCACCCACGTCGTGCAAAGTATCTTTGCGCGACGCAACTTTGCGCGATGAAGGAATGCGTTGCGCAAAGCTGTTTTGCGTGACGTTGTGTGGGTTGCGTCACGCAAAGTTGTTTTGCACGACGCATTCCTTCGTCGCGCAAAGTTCCGTCGCGCAAAGATACTTTGCGCGATGAAATTTGCTGCGTCACGTAAGTTTCCGTCGCGCAAACATGTTTTTGTACTAGTTTAGTGATGACAATAAGTGAGAGGAAATGGTAAAACAATTGTAACTCTTTGGGTAGCCTTTATGCCCATTACTCCCACTTAATTCTCATCTTTATTTCCAATTCCTCTGATATTTGAATAGGTATCAGCTGACTTGTTCTTGCCTGCATCACTTTTGGCTACTAGATTTATTGGATTTATTGCTTTCAGTTACAAACTACTCAGCCTCTTAGGAACCTTTCAGTGTTAAAGCGGCCATAACTTGTTCTAGAAAAATGACATTAGCAATCCGCAAAATGGTCCAGAAAATAGACATCTGTAGCTTTCCAAGCATATAAAGCTCGTTCTCTAATTCATTCTGAGCTGTCCGCAACTTGCTGCCAAAGTTAGCTGATTTGCACAGGCAGTTTTGATTAATTTGTTACTTAAAATCCCACTTGTACTATTTTTCTTTTCTTTGCTTGACAAATCCCACAAAACACAAAAACAAAGTAAATAGCTCAAAAATATAAGGAACTAACTAAGAAAAGACAAGTGAATTTGATGTAAAATATATATAAATGTGAGCTTATCAATCGTCCACCAAATTTTCATGGGATCGATCACCAAATTAAATATGAGATGTAATTTGAATTGAAATGACAAATTTGACCCCTACACATGATAGTCACGTGAGTTTGTTTAATAGAAGATTAACAGGAGTTTGGGTTTGAACTTAAATTGCTAACATGACTCAGATGCCAGAAGGAGGGTTTAATTAACAACTTTTTCACTATAAAAGTCATGTTGAAAATGCTGTGTCACCACAGGAATCATGAAAAAAAATCAAATTATATTATATAGAATTGGGATTAGCAACTCAACCCCATATTTTGATTTTTTTCCCTTAATTTTCAATGTCTTATTAATTATACTTGATTCAAATGAAGACATGATTGATTGACAAGTCTATTGGCAATTTAAGGAAATGGATCATCTCCAGATCCCTTACATCCATAAATCCGGATTCTTGAAATTTGATTAAATGGTTAAAGTTATTATAATTTTTAAAGAACCCCCCTATTTTTAACTGTTTGATCAAATTTTAAGGATCTAGATTAGTGGATTTGATAAATTTGGTGGAAGGGATCCGGAGAGGATCCCTTTCCGCAATTTAACATGCCTATTGAAAGTAAAGTGAGTATATAATAAAAATATTCGACTTGGCAAATGATGAAAGTGAAGTGGCACATACCATCAAAGTAAAAAATTACCTATGCATTTACCAATGCTTTTAAACTATGTATTATGGTGTCATCACTTGGAATAAACAAGTGCAAGGAAAAAACTTTGGTGTGCAAAAATCATTTTTCTTTTTCCTTTTGGCAAAAGTACGTTGAGCAATAAAGTTTGGGAGGCCGAACCTTGGAAGAATATGAAAGGATTAGGGGGGGGGAATCCTGTTTTGAATGTTATATTCTTCTCTTGCGCTTATGCATGAGATGAAGGATCTTGGGAAAACTCATTTATGCCTTGACCTGAAGTTGAAGCATTGTTCTGACGGTATTTTGGTTTACCAGTCAAACTACACCCCGAATGTGTTACCTTTGAGTATACCTATGATCCTCCATACGTTATGTGCAAATGAGACCCTTGAAGAGGTTATGGAATCCGAAATTCCATATCTAAAGTTCAACTTTGCGCTTCGTTGTACTTAGCTCATTGTATTTAGATAGGACATTTCCTTCGCTGTTGATCTTGGTAAAGATGCAGCACCGCGTTGAATTGGTATTAAAGACGTACCTGAAGGTATTATGAGGGCAAATCCCAATGCATCTTGAGTGGATCCAACCCCCCTGATCCTCGAAATGATGCTTGCCTTGTTTATTATGTTGACGTAGGTTACTTATCAAACCCGTACAAGGCAAAATCCCCAAATGGTTGTCTTTACCGTTAGGGATATCATAATATCTTGGTGGTCCATGATATGACCTTAGTTGCGAAATCTTCAAATCGTTCTAAGACTCACCTTAATTCATTACGCCACAAGTGAAACATGGTTAGGAGTTCTTGTTGAGCATATTCGAAGTACTTTATGTGTTTTCATCCATCATTGAGTCCCAACGACGATCCATGAAGATTATGCCACATGTATCCATCCTACCAAGCCATGATACATCAACGAAGTCAACACCAAGACTTATTGCGTCTACATCACATCACCACAACATCAAGGGATTGAAGTCATGCAAGTCGATCCCAGACGACCTTGCCGACCTCTACACGATGTCACTGCCGAAGTCAACCTTCCAAAAGCTTGTCCAAGGAATTGGTATGCCTAACTATCATATGCAATGCTTGTAGTTCTCATTTGGAAGTTATGTCAAACTCAGGGGGAGTATCCAGAAGTATACTCACTTGATCTTAATGTAATCTTTTTCCATACGATTAGGAGCATTTTTTCCACTGGGTTTTTGCTACCTAACTAGGTTTTCACGAGGCACCCATCCTGGGTTGATCATACCCTTATGAGCTCTTCTACTTACGTCCAAAAGACGTATTGTTTTGACTTAATGCAACTTCTCACTTTCTCCTTAGACTATGAGTTTTTCTCCCACCTTGGGTTTTACCATAGCAAGGTTTTGTGAGTTTTACTTTTTTCGCATTCTTCCGTTGATCTGAGGCTCGTATTCACTCATTGTGCCGACGACTTCATTAACTATACTTGCTTCATCACTGAAGACCTGATGTGCCATTTACTTGAGTATTTACACACTCAAGGGGGAGTGTTGCAGTCTTATTAGATTAGGAATGTGATTGTGTAAATCCTAGTATATCTTGGAATATCTCTTATATTCCTATTAGGAGTTGATTACCTATTAAATGTTGTAATCCTAAAGGGAAATGTTTTTACCTATCCTACTACTATAAATAAAGGCACAATGGGGTGGAATAAAACACACCCACAATTACACATCTCTCTTTCTCTCTACTATTGCCGCACCTTCCCTCTCTCTATGACCTTCATAATTGTTCAGTAAATTATGCTTACAACATAATTATTATTATATGTTATTATTATTATTAG